GCCCTCTCTGTGTTTAGAGCCCTGTCTGTGTTTAGAGCCCTCTCTGTGTTTAGAGCCCTGTCTGTGTTTAGAGCCCTCTCTGTGTTTAGAGCCCTCTCTTCCTTAGAGCTACAGATTCCATTTCTCCTGCTTTCTTCAAAAAATCGAGGCCACAGTATAAGAAAGATAAATGGAATTCTATTCCAGTCGGGGGACTGGCGCCCACCACGTCCAGGCCCCTTTCTCAGGGTTTTGTCTGAGATAAGCGAAGTCTGGCCCAGCTCACGTCAGGGACATGTGACCTAGGAAAGCACATCCTCGTGGGCCCCTCATCCCTGAACTGCTTTGGCACGTGTGCACCTGTGGAGGTTTTAGGGTCCCAGATTAGATTTGTTCCTGCTGGATCCTCAGAAAGTGAGGAAGCAATCGGGTCTTTAAGAACAAGTCGGCAAATAAGGTAGTTAAGTCTCACGTGGAACAAAAAGGTGAAGAGTCCATTTCTTTCCTTGTGTGAAAAACAAGATTCATTATGTAGAAAAATAAGAAGTAAGAGCTGGGAAAGCTCCCCGGAGATGTCTGGCTTTAAAGCCGTGCAGGGACTCGCTCGGTAAAACTCAGGCCAAACTCCGCCAACCACCAGCACACGGCTGTTTTCACCAACACCCCGCACTGCCTCAGCTGATCCTGCTTGACTCTGAAGTTGGGAACTGGGTTTATCACTTGTGAGAATGAAAGAAATACCTACTTTTATTAAGGTGTTTAATGCTGTACAGCATCGCTTATAATGACTTAGATTATTAGTAAAACAAACATTCTTAAAGCTTCTAATAATATGATATTTACTGGTCTGATGAACACTTATTAGGAACAGTTTCAAGTGATTTAAATGTGCATGTTTTTGTGGACAAAAAAGTAAAATTATATATGATTAATCTGAATGATACAGGAATATGCCTGAAAAGGCAATTTCAACTCAATAGCCTTACAGGTCTGACGGTTTGCTCCCCCTTTAATACAAATTAAAGTACCTCTGGATCATCCTTTATAATTTCAGAATGAAAATGTCCAGACTTCTAACGACTCCCCAAATCCAAATGTTCTAGTTTTTTTTATTTTCTTACTCGTATATTACAAAGTCATTTAAGATACCCCCCAATTTCAACTTTGCTGGGAACCATGTTCAAGATTTAGAATTTTTAAACCATAGATTATGACAGTATCCTTTTCAAAAGCATCTGGCAAAGTAGAAGTTGCAGAACTGAACTCTTTACTGACATGCAAATTTCAACACTAAACAGCACAGCAAATGGAACAGCTTACTAAAGAGATAGTATATAAAATGTGGGATTTTTTCACGAATAAGACTCCATAAGTATACCTATAACTCACACTGTATTTATACATTCAAAGGATATATTTCCTGTTGTATATCCGTCTTTTTAAAATGCTGAGTACTTGCTGATAAGTAAGAATATGCTCTAAGTTATTCTAATGTTAAAACAAAAAAGCATTTCTAACTAAGTCACTCTGGATAATGTTATAAAAAAGTTGTTTGTAATTGTATTAAACAAAAATATTAAAGGCTTTTCAAAGACCTTTATTTTGGACATTAGTAACTGGTTTAAATAATATCCTCACCAGTTTAGCATTAATAATCTAAGACTTGGATTGTTTAAGAAGAAAATGCAAAGTGTGTCTCCCTGGATGTGGAGAATGAACTGATGCCGAATACTTCTTTTTCTAAGGGGATTCAGAACATGGCAGGTGACAAGGGACTATGGAATCACTTGCTGTCCCTCATCAAAGTGACAGTCATACGCACATGCCCTGGGAAATTGCCCAACAGAAACTGTACCCTTATTAATACTTTTGATTTGCAAATACTAACTGCCTGACTTAGGGGAAAAAGAGGAAAAAATGTGTCGACTGAGCATATATGCCACAAAATTCTCCAGCATTAACACCCTCATCAGAGTTCCTGGGACTTCTGCCCTGCAAGCAGCCAAGAACTCTCTCTGAGAAAGAACTACTGCTTCTAGCCGAGAAGGCGGAGTCCCTGGAGCAGGGGCCATTTGTCAAGTTCACCAGGCACTGATTCTTCCAGAATCAAGTGAATTTTCTGTAGTAGTTACGTGACGCATGACAATTGTTCTCATTGAAAAATGTGACAACTTAAAAAGTGTCAGTTTTAAAGATAACTTGGCTTAATTTATTTTTAAAATCATCGAAATAGGAGCAGCATTGAAAGAGCCCAAACTGACCTACTTTCTGGAATCCATGTGTAACTTTTATTAATAATAGTCATTATCCTCAATTCACCTGGCAGAATGATTGGAAAGAGCTGAACTTTTTGCACTGGAGTGACCAGCCTTAGGAATGATTGCTCATGTCACATCACGTAGAGCACACTGTCACTTACTGCAGAGAGAAAAAGATGGCACAGCTGGACAGGATGACCATGGGTAGCAGGCCGTAACCCAGCACACTGGCCACGCAGCCGCAGGACACCCCTGAAGAGCTCATCAAGTTCAGTAAGGTGTAAATCCCGAGACAGCCAAGGGCACTCATGCCATACACGTAGCCGAACTGAACTTTTCCTGCCTGAAACAAAGTGAAGAAAACGGTCTGAACGCACAGCAGACCTCAAAAGGAGATCAGAAGGCCAACTAAGCAGACAGAATCTTAGAGGTAGCTGGACACCGCTTTCTACTGTAATATCATCAGGAGACAGGAGGCTCTGGGAAACACACTGCCTAGGAAAGGACTTCCGAGCCTAAACTCATACACACCTCACTATACTTGGGATGGAACAAGCACGCTACCAAAAAGATGAAAGGTGTCTAGGTTAGTGTCACAGATAGCCTATTAGAAGTATGAGGCATGGGCAGTGCCTGTGGCTCAGTGGATAGGGCACTAGCCCCATATACTGAGGGTGGCGGGTTTGAACCTGGCCCCGGCCAAACTGCAACAGAAAAATAGCCGGGCGTTGTGGTGGGTGCCTGTAGTCCCAGCTACTCGGGAGGCAGAGGCAAGAGAATCGCCTAAGCCCAGGAGTTGGAGGTTGCTGTGAGCTGTGATGCCACAGCATTCTACCGAGGGGAATAAAGTGAGACTCTGTCTCTAAAAAAAAAAAAAAAAAGAAGTACGAGGCCTAATGAAATATGTTGTCCCCATATTTGCTGAATAATTGAATGATCAAATGAGGGAGTGGAAAAAAAAATCTCATTTAGTCTTGGAAATGTGCAAGGCCTGTTAGTAAAATCAGCAAACATCTGTAGGAGTTACGATGTCAGGTCCCACCCTAAGTGTCCTATGTACATTATTTAATCTACATAAAAACCTTATCAGATAGGTACTATTATTATATCTACACATGAGGAAGCAGAATTAATTGCAGAATATGTATAGGTAACGGGTTAGGGTTAGGGTTTGTGTGCAGGGAGGGTGCGGGGAGGGGCAGGGAGGGTAAGTAACTTGCCCAGGGTAATATAACGCCTAGAGGTTAACATCAGTAGGATCACTAACAAGGCCTAAAATAAAGGGACTAATTTAGCCACATTTCACTCAGCATATCCCAAAGTTATCTGACCACAGAAACCTTCTGGTCTTCATACTGCCTATCACCAGGTTGACTGATAACACCTTATGAAATGCTGATTTTTATAAACTAACTAATAATGACTCATGAAAGATGTGTTGTTAAAGGACATTAGTAATGTCCAGGTATGCCGTGAAACTTCCAAGGAGGACTCATAAAAACAGCCACCACTTACCAGGTCCTAAGGAGAAAGACTCCCAAGTTCACCCAGGGAAAGTCACAACCTGCTGTCAATCCAGCAGGTGGTTTTTGAATGTTTGCTACCTGAGAATACCAACGCTCCAGTAAAGAATGCTTTTGTTTTTTAATCTTTACATTAAGTTGATTATAATTTCTGGGTAGGAGTTGAACAGGCTGACTCCGGTTTTAGGGAATTGTGTAAAAACAAGGAAGGATGTACAAATTGATTCACAGAGACAGCTTTGTAGCTGTCCTGTCCTTCCCTGTAGTGTCATCCACGGGGTCCTTGACCTATAGTTACTCTACAATTAATTAGGGTAATAGAGAATGCTATGACGTTGTCTTAGTGTTGAAAACTGTCTGCCTATTTTGAGTTCTTCTTCCTCTGAAGTTGGAGAGTTGGTCACTACTAAGTCCTTTCATAAAATATAAATGCACAAAATAATATTCTCTCCAGCATTAGCCACGGACAAGTCCTCATTTTATCTCTTATATTCTTATCTCTATTAGAGGAAATAATGCTAATTATGGACATGCTGTTAGGTATGCCCTATAGGGAGGGTTTTCTCTACTTAGAAAACAGTGACAATTTTGAATTACCTTCCTGTACTACAGAAACTATCTACTTACCCTTTTACTTGGTTGGGATCATTCTAAGGTCGGGCTCGTTGGTATAGGACAATATCCTTAATACTCAGAGGACGCATCATTGGACCTTTCTGGCCCTAAATGGCAGTTTTATAAGTGGAGCGTGGCCAATAGGGGGTGGGTGAAACTAATTTGGTAGTAACAATTTTCCTTTCTGTATTAGTTATGGACTTCTCTCTCTTGCTCGTTTGTTCAATTTCAGTTGTAATTCTATTTGGCCCACATCACTGCTATTTTTAAAATTTGTTTTAAATTCTAATGAGGGCTTCTAATTGAAATAGAAATAAACGTTCCACTTTTTTTAGCCTCAAAATTTTTCAGTGCTCCCTAACTCCCACGTATTGATTTGAAACACTTAGTATTCTTCTGATGATACTTTTTTGTATCGCCTCTCCACATCACATTCTTGGCCCTACCAGGAAACAGTCGCTTCAAACCACCTGTCTACTTGGTGTCAGGGGTGAAGTAATTTTGAGGGAAAGTGTGAGTAAAGTTAAAGCTTGTGTTAAGTGTTTGAAGCCCACTAGAAAGTATTGGGTCTTTATATCAACATAGAAATGATCAGCATATGACTATGAATATACAAATCTGGAGATAGTGGACAGATTCAGATATTGGATATTCTGGATTTAGTTTTGTGTTCCCTGGTCTAATTCCTGTATCAGCCCATAAAATCACTCTTTATATTTTATTTTTTCACTTTTTTTTTTTTTTTGAGACAGAGCCTGGGTAGGGTGCGGTGGCCTCACAGCTCACAACAACCTCCAACTCCTGGGCTCAAGCGAGTCTCCTGCCTCAGCCTCCCAAGTAGCGGGGACCACAGGCGCCCACCACAACACTCGGCTATTTTTTGGTTGCAGCCATTACTGTTGTTTTTGGCGGGCCCAGGCTGGTTTCAAACCCTCCACCTTAGGTGTGCTTGGCTGGTGCCTTAGCCACTTGAGCCACAGGCAAGCCACTCTTTATATTTTAATTCTAGGAATCTAAGGCAGAGTTAAAGTAGCATCAATTGAATTCTGAATTAAATCTTACTTCAGTTCATATCCAATTGGAGTTTTTATTTTTTGGAGGGGTGTCCTTAATGCCGTGTATGTATCATAATCAATTCTAAAGTTACCACATCTAATGATAAAATCCAAGTGGTAATGTCTGTGTAAAAATGCAGAGAATTTGTATTTTCACACAGTCCCTGTCCCTGTAATTTCAGAATCATAAGAACCACTCAAATAAACTCCTTTAGTCTTGAAGAAAATGAAATGAAGGCCTATAAACATGAAACCAAAGTTTCCAGATCACAGCTTCTGGAAAAGTAGGAAGAGTTCCAACTTTCTCACCTCTACGTAAAATGATTTTTGGTCTATATTGTTTTGCATCTAAAACATAAGAGGGGATATTTAAATAATTCTACCTGACATTATATATCAAAGAGATATTTTAATGGGATTAATGCTGTATGTAAAGGAATGCTAATTTTTTTTTTTTTTTTTGCCGTTTTTTGCCTTAGGTGGGGTTTGAACCTGCCACCTCCAGTATATGCAGCCGGCGCCCTACTCCTTGAGCCACAGGTGCTGCCCAGGAATGATAATGTTTTTATACAGAAAAAACAGCTATTATATTACAAATGACTTGAAAGAGAAAGATGAATTAATCTATTAAATTGATTGTTTCTGACTATTTGATTAATTGGCATCTTAGCAACTTAATCTAAGATTATCAAATCACTGGGGCAAAGACAGAAGGAGGGAGGTTAGAGACGAAATTAAAACTCTAGTCCACACGTACTTGATTATTTACACGTACAGAGTATTTACATTTGCCATAGTACAAAGAGAGAAATAACACGTTACCATTAAACACTATTGTAACAGATATACTTGCTGTGATCACGGGCTATCGTGCTGTGCAGAAACTAGACAGCGATCAGTATTTGGATTGATATAGAATTAATAAATGAAAAGTGAGATCTTATTTAGTTGCAAGTGCATTTTGTAACTACTTTTAAAAATTGTATCTATGTCGAGGGACAATTACTTTCATGGGAGGTGCGTGGCAGTAAGATCAGGGGAAGGAGGCTATTCTCAGAGCTTTCCCTAGGGTCTTAAATTTCTTTTATCATTTCCCCTGCGGAGTCTACCTCTTTGTGCCTTAATGAACCACAATGTTCACATTTGTTTGACTCTCTCCATCCTGTTTTTTAATATATTATTATTCCCTCTTTAATATAAAAGAAATGACCATTTCTCATTCCTTTTTTCTTCTTCCATTTTTGTAATAAAAGTTTTTTTCTAAACTATAACTTAGAATGTCTCCTAAACTTTTTCAAGGTGGAAACTTTTTTTATTTTTTTACTGTTTGGTGACTCTTAGTATAATGGCTTCCAGGCTCAGTGCCCATCGCTCAATGGTGAGGGAAACAGCCACATACACAGAGGCTGGGGGGTTCGAACCCAGCCTGGGCTTGCTAAACGATGACAACTATAACAAAAAATAGCCGGGTGTTGTGGTGAGCCCCTGTAGTCCCAGCTATTAGGAGGCTGAGCATCCCTTAAGCCCAAGAGTTTGAGGTTGCTGTGAGCTGTGACCCCATGCACTCTACTGAGGGCGACATAGTGAGACTCTGTCTGAAAAAAAAAAAAAATGACTTCCAGATGTAAAGAAGGAAAGGGGCCAATACCTAAGACACATGATGAAGTTAGGGAAGATATATCTTCATAAAAAGCATAAAACTAGGGCAGTGCCTGTGGCTCAAAGGAGTAGGGCGCTGGCCCCATATGCCCGAGGTGGCGGGTTCAAATACAGCCCTGGCCAAAAAAAAAAAAAAAATCATAAAACTAAAATTGTAGGGGAAATATATATAGGCTTAGTAAACAAA